TTGGCTCAGAATGATGGAATTATTGTAGAGAAAATTTGTTATATTGGGAAGAGGTGTGTAGCTAAACTTGAGAGTGGTACCATTTCTTTTATAAAGTGGATCTTTCAGAGGACAAAACTTTAGTTGATGAGGTCAGGTTAGCGATGAGCACAATAAAGCACCCAAACAGCATTTCTGACGGCCTATATTTTGAGAAACTATGAGCAGCTAGGAGGACAAAGGACTTATTGAGAGGATTAAGAACTTTCGGAAGGACACTGTGCAGAGGGTTTGCCTACTGCAGAGTATCAGGGCCAGTGACTAAAAGGCTGTGGAAAGGGTCATATATTAGGGGACATGCCCTGTTTTAGAACTGGACACGACACAGCTATGATAAAAACAGAACATGGAAACTATTCTTTGGGTGGGTCAGGGATGCTGTAGCAAAAACTAGTTTAGAGGGGGTGTCTGCCACAGGAAGTTGAACAGGCAACAGCAGTATTTTTGTTGTGGTGAGGTGGGAGGTCCTAAAACAGGAGATGTGCTGCATGAGAAAAGGAAAGGAGTGTCTGCCATATAAGTGTATCTCCAAGGAACAGAAGCCATTTGGTCCAGGTGCCTCAACATACAGCACTGAAGCACACAAAGCCACTGTTGTGGGCCAGAATTAACACCTCACCGAGCCCAGAAGGATCGGGGGTTCAAGACCCACCTTTCCCCCTTCCCAACTAAGAAAGGTGGCGAGAGGGCATTAACAGGATGGTCATGAGGTTTTTTAAGGAGAGGCCGGATGGTCATCTGTCATGGTTGCTTTAGCAGAGATTCCTGCATTGCAGGGGGTTGGACTAGAAGACCCTTGGGGTCCCTTCCAACTCTCCAATTCTACTGAAGGAGAGTGGGGGCTGCCTGGCAAGCAGAGGAATGGATGGTGAAGAATTAAGCACAAGGGGGGGGGAGGTGAACAGGAGAAATATTTGCCCTAGAACTGGGGGAAAAAAAAAGGAACAAGGGAGGTGAGGTGGGGAAGACTCCTTAGCGCAAGTACTTATTTTGCCAGCATCGAAACATGGGGGGGGGGGTGTTAACTGGAACCTGGGGAGCATCCTGGATGGAACCACCCCCACCCAATGAAACCAGTGGGGGGGTGGCTGGTTTAAGGGGGGGTGTCCTGCCTCCTGGGCAATAAAGCATCATGGTGGGCAACGCGCGGGGGGGGGGAGGAGGCCAGAGCAGGGCTTCGTAGTGAAGGGGGGGCGGCAGCTGTGTTTGAGGAGGGGGGCACTTTGAGGAGTGGGGAAGGGGGGGCTGGGGAGCGTGTGGAAGAAGAGAAGCGCTTTTACCTGTGGGAGGAAGGGCAGGCGCGGGTCTCTCGCTCTCCAGCTTCGGCGTGTCAAATCCTCGTCGCGAGGAGGGGGCGCCCAGCAGGGTTGGGCTGGGTTGGGGGGGGTCGGGAGGTGAAGGGGTGGGGGAGTTCCTCTTCAGCACCGGTCAGCGAGACATGCGCGCCCGACACTCTTCTTCTTCTTCTCCTCCTCCTCCTCCTTCCACCCTCCCTCGGCGGTGACTTCTCCAGCTGCTGCTGCTGCTGCTTCCTCCACCGCCGCCGCCTGAAGAAAAGTAAACCAGCCGCCGCGCGCCCCCGCGCGCGCTCCCGACTGGGCCAATTAAGCCCGGAGTTCGAAGCGAGGAGGGGGAAGAACAGGAGGAGGCGCGCTTTGGGTTGCTGGCTTCGCAGAATGACGGAGCTGAGGCGAAGTCGCTGAGGAGCCGGGAGCGAGTGGAGAGGTGGGGGCGGGAGAGAGAGAGAGAGAGAGAGAGAGAGAGAGAGAACGCGCCTGCGCGCGCGGCCGCAGGGCGGGGGCAGGGGAAGCACGAGTTTTAAAGGGAAAGGGAGGCTGAGAGGAGGAGGAGGCTGGGTAAGCGCAGGAGAAAGGAAAAGGGAGCGAGGTGCTGAGTGGGCAGAGCCGCGGTGAGCGGCGGGGAAGGGGCGTGGCCAGGAGGCCGCCGTCGACTCCCCAGCAGCGGGCTGAGGGCGGTTGGGAAGCCTGGCGCGCGAGGGCGCCAGTTTAAGGGCGGAGGGGGAGAGGGGCGCTTGGTTGCTCGACCTCCAGAGCCCACAGTCCTCTTCCAGGAGACGTCGGGCTCTTGCACGTTTCTGTCAGTTTTAACAACAACCCCCTCCATCTGAACGGGTTGCCTCAGCCACTCTGGGTGGCCTGTTATAGAAATAAAATTTGATCCTTTTCTTGTATGAGGTTCACCAAGGGAGGTGATGTAGATACACACATATACAAAACTTGGAGGTGATGGGTGATGTAGATACACACATATATATACATAAATAAAAAATGAAACATTTAAAAAAAAGTTTCTGCCTTCGGGTGACTTACAAAGGTTTTATTGTTACCTATCTCCTTGGCTCTGTAGGCGCATAATTCCATATACCCTCCCAACATTTCTCCTCAGGTGAAAATAGGGACGTCCAACAATTCTAGAATTTCTCTGAGGAAAGTTAAAGAGACGTCCTGAGGAAAAGCAAGACATTCCAGAATCCAATCAGAAACTGGCTTCTGTAAATCTGGGAAACAGGGACACTTGGGAGGGTCTACTGTCTGTCCCTGAGGTGTGGAAGGGGGTCTGATCTGAGAGAGCTGCCATCTCTGACTAGCACAAGAAGGACCTACTGGGTCCCACCTAGGCCAGACCCCCTGTTCTGTCATGGCGGCCACCTAGATGCCTCAGAGGACAGGGGCAGCTGGTTGCGCAAGGAGCAAGGCCCACCGACCGGGGTGAGGTGACTGCCTCAGGAGATCCTAATGGCTCCCTTGTCCCCATTGTTCTTCATGTAAATCAGTGGCTCCCAATCTTTTTTGGTCATGCCTCACCTAAGCATCTCTAAAATCCTGATGCCCCCCCCATGACATATAATTCTTATTATTCAAAAAGTGAACTCCTATTCACATGGAGGAAGCCTAAAAGGCCATTAACTTGGTCTAAACAAGCTTCCAAAGATCATGACATCCATGAAAGAGAAACATAAAAGAACAAAAGGACAGTTGAAGTACTGAGGAAGAAATCACCAAGAAATTGTTAATAATAATAAGAATATGAAAAATAGCAAATAAAGCTTCCAAACATGTAATAGGGAACTGAAATGCACAAATATAAAATAATTTTAATGGAAACTTTTTCTGTAACACTTTGGTCATTTTAATTACTATACAATTAAGGTACCTAACAAATTTAAAATACAATTTGATCTCACCTCAAGATAAGTAGAACCAAAAGAAATGCAAAAAATAAATAAAGAATAGCTGTTAATAAGTCATTCTCGAATTGCCCCCCTTAAAAATCGAATTGCCCCCTTGTGGCGCATGTGCCCCACGTTGGGAACCACGGGTGTAGATCTTCCCTGGCGGCTGAGGGGGAAGCCGTTTTCAGGTCTGCCTCAGGTGTCAAAATGTATCGGGAGCCCTTGGGGTGCTTTAGCACTCTTTGGGTGAAATAGTGAGGGTCCTCCGTGCTGTGCTGCCAGGAAAGAGACAACCAAGTATAGGCAGCGGTGGCAATTTCTGCTCGCTCAGTAACTCTGCCCAGAGAGCAGAGGATCATTAGGCAGAGGAAGAGCAGCGTTTGCTCCTTGCAGCCATTTTTTTGCCCCTTCCTCCCCAGTATGCAGCCCAGAGATCAAGGGCAAGTGGGCAAGAAGTGGTGTGGAGATTTGGTTCAGTTTCCCTTGCAGTGGTGCCTTTAATGAGGACACAGACAAGACAGAGAAGGAGGAAGAGGCTGATCTTTGTGGGAACAGTTGATGCCCCTGAATAATTGTCTTCACCCATACTTAGTAGCATGCCAAGGCTGGTCGGGCAAGTAACGGTGGCAAGCAATGGGCTGTTGTTGCTTCTGATTTCTTGCCTGTGTAAATACACACACAGAGAGGCTCTATCAGCTTGTCCAGACTCTCTGGTGCAAGCAGCGTGAGCAAGCAGAAGCTTTTGTTGCTGCAGGATCATCTATCTACCTGTTCTGCTCTCTCATCCTCTCTTTCTTTGTGGGTGGCACAATAGGGAGGGTTGGGCCCCATATCTCCACCCAGAGAGTACGCAAGTGAGAACACGAGAAGATGAGGTGGCTACACCTTGCACAAGCACAGATTGTGCTCACTTGCGTATCGCTTTCATTTTCTGGTACTGTAGTGTAAACTGTTTTGAGGTTTCCCTCCCACAATCAAGCGGTATAGAAATGTTGTTAAATAAATAATCAAAAATAGGGATTGTGCCACCCTAGAGAAAGAGAGTAAGGAAATGAGCAGAGGCCCCTCTCTCTGCCTTTGTAGTAAAGGTAAAGGGACCCCTGACCATTAGGTCCAGTCGTGACCGACTCTGGGGTTGCGCCACTCATCTCGCTTTATTGGCCGAGGGAGCCGGCGTACAGCTTCCGGGTCATGTGGCCAGCATGACTAAGCCGCTTCTGGCAGACCAGAGCAGCGCATGGAAATGCCATTTACCTTCCCGCCGGAGTGGTACCTATTTATCTACTTGCGCTTTGACGTGCTTTTGAACTGCTAGGTTGGCAGGAGCAGGGACTGAGCAATGGGAGCTCACCCCGTCACGGGGATTCGAACCGCCGACCTTCTGATTGGCAAGTCCTAGGCTCTGTGGTTTAACCCACAGCGCCACCCGCGTCCCTCCGGTGCCTTTGTGCCACCCTGCATATTGCAGATGCTTCAAGTGTCTTTATTTTCTAGGTATAGTCCTAGATTTACAGAAGCTGTCCCGGTTTCTGATTTGATACCAGAAAGTCCTGCTTTTCCTTAGGACGTCCCTATTTTCATTGGAGAAATGTTGGAGGGTATGGAGTTATGAAACCCCCTCCCCCGATCCAAGGAGATAAGTAACAATTAAATTTTTAAAAGACATCTTAAGGAAATCTTGTATACAGAAGTTTTTTTAATGTTTAATATTTTATTATGTTTTTATATATGTTGGAAGCTGCCCAGAGTGGCTGGGGCAACTCAGTCACATGGTCAGGGTATCAATAATAAAATCACCATCATGAAATAGGACATCCCTATTTTCATTGGAAAAATGTTGGAGGGTATGCTTTTGAGTCAGAGTAGGATAAGTGATGGTGTTGTGCCTGGCAGAGAGCAGAACTCCTACTCAGCCAGCAAAGCCCCCAACATCCCAAGTGGGCCTTCTTGAAGATCAGGCCTGAAGGTAGCTGTGCCACAGTGCTGACCCCTGACCCCAATATTGGGAAAGCAGTCGAAAGGAAAGCAGTGGATTGGGCAGAATGGAAAGTCAGTCCACCTACCTTGAGATGAACTCTTTCTATGCAGACCAGCTCTATCTTCATATTTGCAAGAGGTAAGAACAAATTTGTTCCACACATGTGCAGCTGCATGGAAAATCAGTGATGGAAAAGATGACTGTTAGTTACTTCCTGATGACAAAATATAATGTCTGAATTAGACTACAGAACTTTTGACTGAATAAATAAACAGTTGAATGACAGAATAAACTAGGCAGAGTCAGTTTTCAGAAGCCCCAACCAAAATTAAGCAGGTGGCTGAAAGCCCCAGTTGCAAGACTCAGGCAACATGGACAAGAGGACAGACTGTTAGGTGTGGGCATTTGAGACTTGCTGGATGGCACTGGGCAAACCTCTTGTGTCTCAACTTCAGTTTGCCATCTGTTTGGATATTTTTTTTATATAGCCTAGGCTGTTGTGCATGGAAGTTTGCAAAATATTAAGATTATATTGTTTGTTATTGTGTTGAATTCTATGGGTGTCATAATTATTTTAAATACATGCAAATTTTAATCTTGTCTGGAACTAGAATGGTCATTCTTCCTGATTCAGCTCTTTTTTCTCAGGCATTCCAGAAGATTTAACTAGCATGGGAGAGATGTGTTCCTTGACTGCCCCCCCCCAAACACACACTAAAGTGCTTTAGAGGCTGCCGTATCATGTGCTGCAGCTGGTAAGCTTGATTTTGAACTGTTATTAATACAACAGTAAAGTGATGTTTTCCTAGTCTATTTCTAACCAAAATAATACTCTGTTTTAGTCAGCACAGCATACTGAGGCAGAACCTTCAGAATTACAGTACTGTACATAATAGTGGGAATGGGGATGGGTTTGGTAGTGATCCTTGTTGGGAGACAAATGTATTACAAGTTTATTTTTACTGTGATATGTTTGAAGTATATTTTTGATTTTTTTAAAAACATCACTTTACTCAATAAGTGTCACTGCTAACAGCATAGCATTGGAGAACATTTTTTAGTACATGGCTATAAATATAAATAAACAGAAGAAGTACCTTCTATTAAAAAAAAAAGAAAGATTCCTCACCAAAAGTAATTAGTATCTAATTTCCACTGGGAAGAAGAATCTTTAAGCAAAGAGTAGGGGATTTAAATAATGTAAAGGTGTACAGAAATGTTGTGTTTGACTTCATAATTTGTTCAGAAGCACTGAAATACGAGATTATACTTGTTCATAAAATTACTCAAAAACATTAATTATCCAAAAATGCAAACGTGACAAGCGCTGTTCAACATCATAGTAATCTTTCTTAGTTTTCTTTTCAAGCATCTTCCGCTGCTCCTCCTCTCCTTTGCCAGAAAGCAGTTTCACAATCAAGTATTATTTAAGTGGAACCACAATGGGGAGAGAGAGTTACCCTTGAATAACAATGTGAAATCAGTAAGCTTCACCGTTTTCAAGTATTATACAAAGTAAGCAGCATCCTAAAGAATAAAGATAAAATATATTAAGGATGAAGTGGGTGGAATGAATAACATGTTTTGATGGCTTCACCAAAATTCTGGCGTATAAAATAAATCAGTATTTAGTGTCAAGAAATCAGTAAAATAGTGGGGCAAAAAGTAGAAGCTTCTCCACACTTGGGACCCTTACCTTTTAAGTATAACTGGATAATTTTGTCTTCAGACTATTAGCTATCCCTTAATCAAGTACAGGAACTAAAAGTTCTCCCCTCTCTGAGCAGAAGGAAGACGAAAATACAAAAATCCTCAGAGGAACGGATTGTCTTTAGCTATTTTTGCTTATATTTTTGTAACTTGAAGTATATGAACAAAGCTCTTGATTAAAATACAGTACTTATATTTGTCTATCTTGTTGTAAAGAATGGTTGATTCCAGTTGCGTATCATCCTATATGATGCTGTGTTTCAGAGGAAGTCAGGCAGATTATGCATGGTTGAGGGCTGAGGACAATGGTTTGGGAACAAAAGAAACCTGAGAAAAAATACAGATCTAATCTGTGAAGAAGCATATAAAAAGACAAACTTCTAAAGGCCTAGATGTTTCTTGTCATCAAGTCTGAGAAAGTTGATTTATTTCCTTTACCACATCCTTCTTCCATACTTGCTGTTAAGTTACAAGTTACCACACAATGCTGTTTGGGGACCCCTGCGTGGGATGTTAAGTGATATGCATGTGGGGGCAGATTTTAGCTGGTTGGTAGAATGTGGTGTATCTTAAACCATGGGGAATAGTAATGAGTAGATGGCAGGAATTTGTGTTATTAATTGTATATGCCAGGTGTGGGGAGCCTTTGGTTTTCCAGACAATAGCTCCCTGGCTATTGGCCATGCTTACTGTGTCTGATGGGAGTTGTAGTTCAGCGACATCGGAAGGGCCAAAGGTGCCTCACACCTGGCCTATGGTATATCAGAGAAGAAGACATCAAAATGTACTGGTCAGGATGAAAAAAATGGAAAAACCCTCTTGAATGATACCCAAAGTGCATTGTGAACTTTGGAGAAAATGAACTTTTTATATTCTAATATCTCCTAATTTTTGTGCTTGGGATAGGATAAAAATAGTAAGTAAATTAAAGCACAAACAATGTAATTACAAGTGAAGATACCAAAACTAATCTTAATTGTTTCCCATACAAATCAACAAGTGGTAGTGGATCCGTAGAATTAGTCTGCTCCTTGTTTCTTAGAGCAAATGGGAGAGGCACCTGTTCACATTTATTTTCAGCTTGCTCTCCCCTCCCCCAAATACTCATCTTTATATATTTATGTGGATAGATAGATAGATAGATAGATACACACACACTTTATAGGCAAACAGATTTGTAAATGGCCCCTTAGCCTCCCTGAAAAATAGGTAAAGGACCCCTGACAGTTAAGTCCAGTCGCGAACGACTCTGGGGTTGTGGTGCTCATCTTGCTTTACTGGCCGAGGGAGCCAACGTATGTCCACAGACAGTTTTTTCCAGGTCATGTGGCTAAGCCACTTCTGGCGAAACCAGAGCAGCGCACGGAAACACCGTTTACCTTCCCACCGGAGCGATACCTATTTATCTACTTGCACTTTGATGTGCTTTCAAACTGCTAGGTTGGCAGGAGCTGGGACTGAAGAATGGGAGCTCATCCCGTTGCGGGGATTTGAACCGCCGACCTTCTGATCGGCAAGCCCAAGACTCAGTTTACACCACAGCGCCACCCTAGCATCAGTAAAATGGATTTTGCAGCAGGAGATGTGAGACTGAAGGAGTGGTTTGATGGAATTGGCTTTCACACCACATTTCTGTCTTGAACTCAGTTTCTGGCTTTGAGCAGATTTCCCGCCAAATACTAGAGTGCTTACAGATGCAGTATACTGGTTTTCAGGGGTATACTGCATTTGCACATGGAGGTTCTGTTTATCACGGTTGATAGGAAAGATTTGTGTAAGTGGTGCAGGCAGGCAGAAGGAGCTCTGGATAGGTCAGGGAGAAGTGAGTGAAGCTGTGATGGGATTAGCTTTAGAAGATTATCAAGATTTATGCAATCCTAATTCTTTTGGAGTCACTAGCTTCTACTTGTAATTATCTAACTGGTTAGATAATACATATTTGACTGACACCAACTACTCCTCCAGCCTGTAACCACTGAGCCCAAGTTTATTTTTCCTTTTGAGAAAACAAATACAACTCACTTTTGAAAGTGTTTCAACTCTATGAATCTTCCCACTTTGATTGTATTGTTTTGCTTGTCCAAATGCAGTGGAGATCAGCTAAATGGCTTGCTATGTTACGTTTCCCATGAGGTGAAGGATCACAAAACTATAAGTATCACAGCTGCTTCTGCTTACTGAGGCCAGTAATGAGCCAGAAATTGGCCAGGAATTGTAATATTGTGGATTGGTCAGTGTACAGAGAGTAAGACAAACAGAAAAACTGGATACACATTTCCTCCCCTCTCTTCATACAGAGGGGAAGCTAATAGAACGATCTTCACCTTGGATCTAATCTAACTGAAGTAAATATAGAGATCCCCCATTTTCTTCAGTTAAGCTTTGATATATGTTCTAATTGCCACTGTAAAACGTTTTATATGTGCTGTGCATAATTTGACAACATGCTTCCCAAACAAACTGAGGGAAAACGTCATTTAATTTTATTTACTTTTACTTATAAGACTATGGCTGAATTACATTATCCGAGCATAAAGCTTGTAGGGCTGCGCTTTGTTTTAGATGTGGTCCATTTTAATTTCAATAACAAGTGAGAGATAAGTGTTATATCATCGTTTTAGTTTTTCACACCTTTTCACTTCTGTATAGGTGGGAATTTCTGAAACAGATGCATCTACCTACTTAAGCTTTAAAATATTCAGAGAGCATTTAAGGTGCATGTTGGTATTAGCTATTGTTAGTGTTTCTGTTGGCCTTGTTATTCTTGAATCTGAGTTGCATCTGAGTACTAAAGGAACTGACATATATTTACTCAGTGCTTGTATCAATTTTAAGGGGGGGCCCCTCAGTAATATTGTAATCCTCACGAAAGAGAGCTTATCAGTAAATGGGGTGGGTGGGCAGTTCTGGCTGCCCAGTACTCAGTCTGGTGCAAAAAAAAGTGCAAGATGAGGCAGTTGTAGTATCCCCCACTACTGGTAATTCTACTGAACCCTGATGTTATGTACTTTAGGAACAGGGCCCAGAAGCATTGAAGGGAATAAAGATGGTGGTGGCTGTAGTCACCTTGCCTAGTGCTTCTCGTAAGGAGAGATGAGCCCTACTGGATCAAGCCAATGACCCATTTAGTCCAGCAGCCTATTATCACAGTGGCCAACCAGACAGGGAGCCTGCAAATAGAACCTGAGTGCAACAGCATTCTGCCCACCTGCAATTCCCAGACACTGGAGTGAACCTGTCAGGAGTGAACTTGACCCAACAACTCCCCACCCCACGCAAACAAATCTCACTGCAGCCAACTAAACACAACCAACCATGCCCTGGGGTCCCCACCCAACCACTTTCACCATCGAGGAAACATAATGAACAAACAGAAAAAGAACCTACCCAAATGATGCTGACATAAAAACCCCCACATAAGCACTAAGTATAAGAATATAAGTTTACCACTTCCTCTCCTTTTTCTTCTTCCCCAACATTATTCTGCCCGCAGACTGTCTCCACAGAGTGGTGCATTCTCTAGTTATCTCTCACTTGGACTACTGCAATGCACTCTTTGTGGGGCTACCTTTGAACTACAACTAATCCAGAATGCGGCAGCTAGGCTGGTGATTGGGAGCAGCTACCGAGACCACATAACACTGGTCTTGAAAGACCTACATTGGCTCCCAGTATGTTTCCAAGCACAATTCAAAGTGTTGGTGCAGAACTTTAAAGCCCTAAACGGCCTTGGTCCAGTATACCTGAAGGGGCATCTCCACCCCCATTGTTCTGCCCGGACACTGAGGTCCAGTGCTGAGAACCTTCCGGTGGTTCCCTTGCTGAGAGAAGCCAAGTTACAGGGAAACAGGCAGAGGGCCTTCTTGGTAGTGGCACTTGCCCTGTGGAATGCCCTCCCATCAGATGTCAAAGAGAAAAACAACTACCAGACTTTTAGAAGACATCTGAAGGCAGCCCTGTTTAGGGAAGCTTTTAATGTTTAATAGACTATTGTATTTTAATATTCTGTTGGAAGCCGCCCAGAGTGGCTGGGGAAACCCAGCCA